CGCGTCTAGAGTTTTGGCCGCCTCCACCGGTCCTCTGGCCCACTGTGCGTTCGCTGTGCGGATGCCGACTGTGGCGACCGGATGGACGGACGGACGCCGAGGGAAATGTAGCATGGCGGTCGGTGGGCCCCAATTTCGCCTCTTTTAACACAAACAGAGCGACGTGTCGTCCCCCTCCCCTCCTTACTCTTGACCCCCCTCCCCCTCGCCCTCGTAATTAGCTGCTGCTTGGGGTCGTAAAAGGCAGTGGGCTGACTGGCCTATGCCTTTGGCGTGAGCTGCTCGGCTGCTCGGCACTGCCCCCAAGTAAAGCATGGCGTATTTGCACGCTCGCGTGGCTACTGCGTGACCGCGGCGTGACCGCGGCGTGACCACGGCGTGACCACGGCGTGACCACGGCGTGACCCGCACGGCGGGCAAATTATAAATTACGCCCGTGATTATTCAGATTGCGCGGGGAGGAAAGGTGCTTATGGGTCGGCGGTGGTCGGTCGCTCGGTGCGGTCGGCTCGTCACGGGGCTTTAGCGGTCGGTGTTTTTTGGAGGGGGTGGGGGGATTTCAGGATCGTGTTGAGTATGCTGATTTTCCACGTTCGTTGCGCGGTTCTTTGTTGTTGTTGTTCTTGTTGTTGTTGTTGCTTTTTGGATGTTTTGGTTGTTTTTCTCCGTGTGATTTCGGGCCGGAGAGTGGTGCGCGCTGCGCTGGGCCGCGCCTGGCGTGGTGCACGTGGATCGGAGGGGTGCGCCGAACCGCGCCAAACCGCGTCCCGGAGTGCATTGCGTGCGGTTGCGCTTTCGCCGCGAGCTGCTGCACTGCACTGCGCCGCGCGCTGCGCCGCTGGCCGGCAGGTGTCTTCCTCGCACTCATGGCGCGTCCCTGCCAGTCCCTGCAGGTCTCTCTCGCACGGCGCGTCCCACGGGGATGCGAGGGACAGAGCAGCAAACCGCAGTCCAGAATGGGTCGGGCGGCAGGGCACGGGCTGGCCGCCGTTGGATTAAAAGGTTTCGCCGCTGGTTCGCTGGGCCGCTGGATGTTGCGAGCGCACTTTGCGGCACTTTGTCAGTCTCGCTGTCTCTGTCTCTCTCTCTCTCGGGCCGCTGGCCGGACGTGGCCGAGGCTTCCTCCTTCCTCCCAACGGCCTTGCCTCGCCCTCGCTCATCCCGCAAAGCGCGGGCCTTTCCACTGGGGGGGGGGGGGCTTTACAGGCGTAGATCCGAGCGAAATGCGTGGCGATTGCCGATGTATTGCGCTTCGATTGCGATGGCCGCGGCGGTGTCGTTGCGTCGCTGCGTCATCGCTGTCCGGCCGGCCGGCTGCCTGGTTGTTGTGCCTGGCCGTTTGGATGTCCGACTGGCGCGGTCACGCTCACGTGATGCGAGGCGATGCGCGTTTTCGGAGGCCGAGCCGCCGAGCCGCTCCGCTCCGATGCGCGGCGCGCAGTGGCGGTAGCTTTTACCGCCGGACGTCAAAGTGAAATTCCTGGCCCGGGTGTGGTTCGGGGGGTCGGGGTTTGAGGCGGCCGAGTGGCTCTCTGTCCCGCCGCACTCTGCCGCTCTGCCTCTCTCGCACCCCCGCGGGACGCGCTGCACAGTGGGCCAGAAGACCGGTGCAGGCGGTCAAAACTCCAGACGTGTTTTGAGCTCCGAGTCGTCAAACAGGACTGGAACCGAACGTGTGACAATGGATTGCTCTCCGAACGAGGAGTCCATTGGTGGTGTCACGCGTTCGGTTCGAATCCCATTCAGCGACTCCGGAGCTCAAAACGCGTCTGGAGTTTTGGCCGCCTCCACCGCCCACTGTGGTTGCGCCGGGCTGGGATTGCGATCGACTCTTCCGCTGGACAGCGGCAACGCCGTCGTCGTCGTCGTCCTGGAGGCTCGCCGGAGGCTCGCTGGAAGCGCGTCGCCGTTGTGCAATTGATCGGCATTGTTGGTGGCGACATGGTTGACGGGCTGCCGCGTGCCGCGGTATGTGACTGGATGTGACGCACGCAATGTCGTTTATTACTACAGCCGCCTTGTTGTTTTTGCCGCGTTTGTCGCCGCCGGCTGCGAGGGCTGCGCTTGCATTGTGTGTGTCTGTCTTTGTCTTTGCATTCCGCAGTCCCCCGGGCTCCAGGCGTGCGGTGGGCCAGGCGGCATGTTTAGGACTTCCCTCTACATGCGGTTGTGAGCTCCCGTTGCCCTGGATACTCTTCGACGCGTACCCTCAAACGATGGCGCTGTCAAATCCCTCCCCAGGCGATGTTCAGGGAGGCTAGCGCCCGGCTGGGTAGGCCGGCCCGTAACGCAGCAGAGTGCCACGGCACTGCCCGACTGCCTACCTCGCAGGCGCTCGCCACCCCTCACACACATTTCGAGCGCGAGTGTCCTCCAATAAAACGAATATCAAAGGCGCAACAAATTGCCATTTGAACGTGGAATCCGAAGGCACTCTCGTGCGTTTGATTGGAATCTTTTTTGACGACACGGAGCTGTGCTCCAGGACCCAGTCACTCAGCCAGACAGTCAGCCATAGACAGTCAGCCATAGACAGTCAGCCATAGACAGTCAGCCATAGACAGTCAGCCATAGACAGTCAGCCATAGACAGTCAGCCATAGACAGTCAGCCATAGACAGTCAGCCATAGACAGTCAGCCGGACAGCCAGCCAGCATCCCGGCCGGAACTGCAGAGGTGAAGCGGATGTCCCCCGATGGCGTCGCGCCGCGTCGCGCCGCCTAGCCGGTCGATTCGGAGATGGGGATTGGAATGGGCCGGTGGCGTTTCTCGCGTTTTCACTCTCGTCGTCGGCGGCCTTGGCTTGGCCGGGCTTGGCCGGCGGGGCCGCTTGCTTTCGATTGGATGTGCGATAAGTGCTCATAAGAGGATTGCATCGCCAGCCAATTTGGCCGCGGAGGCGGCGGCGCCGGTGCCCCTCAAACGACCTGGTGGGGGCGGGGCGGGGCGTTGTCATGGCGACCGACACCTCGAGGGGGCAGGGGGTGGGCGCTGTCAACGCGTCCGCCGTCCTGCCGTACGAATATGGGCAGTGCGTGCGCTGCCGAAACTTGATCGCGGTACGCCGTCGTGGAGGGCGCAGAGGGCGCCGCGGCGAGGCGTCTTTGTCGCCATTGTGGCCGCGGCGCGCGTGGCGCCATTGACGCAGTGATTTACACGCGGCGTGCGTTATCGGGGATGAAAAATAGCGCGGCTCTTTGTGCGCGCGGCTTGCAGGCGTCGCCGGGCGTCGCAGGGGCTGCGGCCCGAGTCCGAACGTCGTGGCTCTGTCTCTGTCGCACTCATGGGCCGTTGCGTAGGGGTGCGAGGGTGCGAGAGAGAGAGACTCACAGTGACGGATGACGGTTCGGAGCGAGCCTACGTACTGGCTTGGCTGGTGCAGTGCAGTGCAGCGCGGAGTTAGTGCCAAGGCAGGAGAGCCGAGCTCGCACCGGCAGACGGGCGGGAAGGCGGTCGGTCGGACAGACAGACAGACAGACAGACAGACAGACCGAGCGGCCAGGATTCAAGGTGCCGTTGGGTCGGTTTCTTCTCGAGCCTGCTGTCTAAGGCCGGACGGGACGGGACGGGACGGGACGGGCTCGAGGATGGACTCGAGGAGTCGGTCGGACTTGCTGCCTTCCTTCCGTCGGGATGAGGTAACGAGGGACGTGGCGTGGCGCCGCGCCGTGCGTACGTACAGTGCCTCGTGCGCCGGGTACGGCACGGGCCGCGTGTCTGCACTGCCGACTGCCCGCTGCCGCCAGTACGCCCGCAAGGCCGTCGGGGTCGCCCGGAGCCGCTTTTTGGCTGGGCTCCGGTCCAAGTCCAAGCGAGGGAGGGGAGGGGGGGGGGCGTTCCGTTCGGCGCATCCTTGATCCCCGTGATCCCCGCGGCGGAGTGGCGCGGTGGCGTCATGCAGGCCGCGCGGCGGCTGGCGGCCGAGACCCTCTGCAGGGTGACGCTGGCTGCAGACTGATTCCGAAAGTCGTTTTCGCCGCTCTGTCTCTCTTGCACCTACAGGGAACGTCCCCTGAGTGCGATAGAGACAGAGCGACGAAAACGACTCTCGGGATCAGTCTGCTGGCGCTGGTCGGGACGGACGGACGGATGGCCTGCAGCGCATCCTGCTGCACTGCAAGCTGCAGGGCGGGCAAAACGGGCACGGCAGGCAAGGCGCGGCCTCGCTCGCGCGGACAGCCTTCCCCCTTTGCGCTGCTCGGCGCGGCGCGGCGCTGCGCTGCGGCCGTTGGTCGGTACGGAAGTCGGCAGCGTGCCGCCGTGACAGCCACCCCGCCGGCGGGTGGTGTTTTATGTGCAAAGCAGATTGTGAGCGGGTACGCCCGGGTACGCCCAACACGGCCCCCTGGACGCGGGCGAGTCGTTTCCCCTGGACGTTGCGTTGCGACTTTGCGGCCGGTGGCGCGGTGCGCGGTCGCCGAGTGCTAATGAGTGGAGCCGAGTGGTCGGGGCGGGGCGGGGCGGGGCGGGCGGGGCGTCAGCTGGCTGGCACCTGCAGGTGCAGGCCGCCCCGCCGCACCCCTCCGCCCTGCCCAGGACTCGCAGGACTTGGCAAGCTCTCGGCTGCACGCGCAAGCGGCGCAGGCGGCGCAAGCGGCATTAGCTGTAATTGAAGCGCCAAGAGCCGAGCAGCGCCAAGCGCCATGCAGCGGCCCGAGCCGAGCCGAGCCACAGCCGAGGCGAGAGCGGAGCCGAGCCGGGACCGCGACGTGCGTCTCATTACGGTTGGCGCGGCGACAGGCCGCAATATGCAAGTTTTTGTGTTGTTGTTGTTTGTTGAATGTTGACGGCAAGTCCTTCGGTAATGTACCGCGTTCGGCGTGCTGCTTCGAGTGTGCCGCGCGCCGCTCGGCCCGCACCGCGATAGCTCGCTCCAACTCGTGTTGATTTTTTGTTGCCGTGTTGCAGGCCCTGCAGACCCGGCGCGGGCTGGCGCTATGACCGTGGGATGAGGGCGCCCCTGGCTGCGGGCCGCGCTCCCCCCCGCCACGCCCCCCCACCCCCCGCCCCTCGGGGACCTCCCCGCGCCCCCCGCCATGCTGGCGCGGCGGAACTGGCTGCTGCGGCTGTCAGTCATCCTCAACGTGGTCATCTTGCTCTACTTCGGCTCGCACTTCGCCACCAAGAATGGAGCTGTGGTGCTCATCGAGGAGCTGCAGGTAACCGAGCTGAACCCGTCATTATGTTTTTTTTCTTGTTTGGTTTTTTGCGCGCGTGTGGTTGTTTTGTGCGACGGCGTCGCTAACGTGGCCTTGGTGTGTCCCCGCAGGCGTCTGGGAGGAACCTGGCGTCCATCGACATGCCCAACCCGCCCCAGACGGACGGCCCCCAGTCCAACGACATCAACCCGCCGCCTCCTCCACCACCCCCGCAGCAGTCGTCGGCGCAGGCCGCGGCGGTAGCGGCTGCTGCCCCCGGCGCTGGCGCGGGCGCTGCCTCCGCGGTGGTGGCCGGAGGTAGCAACCCCGACGAGGGCATGCCGCCGCCCGCGCTGCTGCCCCAGGCCGCGCCGCCCGCGCCGCCCGCCGGCGACCCGGTGACGCCCGCCAAGGCGACGAGCACCACGCTGGGCGGCGGCGGCGGCGAGGCGCCCCCCACGGAGAAGAGCCTGCAGGACGTGATCGCGTGCCACGACCGCACCGTGGAGCCCCGCACCGCCCAGCGCGGCGACTACTGGGTGCTGTACAACTACGTGACGGCGTCGGAGACATTCCACTGCTGGGAGAGCATCACCTACACGACGCACGCGGACTACACGTTCCTGGACAACCTGTCCCCGATGCTGGAGCGGTGGCGCGGGCCCGTGTCGCTGGCCATGTACGCGCCGGGCACGGACTTCGCGCCCACGCTCGAGGCCATCAAGTACGCGAGGGACTGCGGGTCGCCGCTCGTGTCCAAGCTGGTGACGTTCCACGTGTTCTTCGGCGCGCGCCACGTGCCGCGCATGGTGCCGCGCCCCGACCGCGCCGTGCTGCCGCCCGCCAACTGCTCGCGGCCCGCGCCCTGGTCCAACGTGACGGCGTCGTCGCTGTACAAGGCGCAGAAGAGCCTGCTGTACCCCGTCAACGTGGGCCGCAACATCGCGCGCGAGGCCGCCGTGACGCACTACCTGCTGGCCTCGGACATCGAGCTGTACCCCAGCCCCGGCGTCATCCCGGACTTCCTGGAGATGGTGCGGCGGCAGGACAAGCCGCTGGCGCGGCCCAACCCCAAGGTGTTCCCGCTGCCCATCTTCGAGCTGGAGGCGGGCGCCGTGCTGCCGGCCAACAAGCGCGAGCTGGTAGGTGCCTCGCCTCGCGCGTAACGACCGCATGGCCGCGCATGGGCCGCTATCGTCGCCTCTGATTTGCATAATTAATTTGGTCAAGCGAGGTAATTTGGTGTGGCCCCGCGGGGCGAGGTGTGGCTGGTGTGGCCAGCCCCAAGGAAGCCAGCCCCCTATTGATCCTCCCTTCCACCCGGCCCTTCCAGTGGCGTAAACACCCTTGCCTCGAGAGCAGCAGATTTTTCCCGTCCCTGAAAGGCTCGGGTACGGCATCGCCATCACGCACCTTAAGCCCCCCTCCCCCCTCGCCATTAATTTCTGGTGGGGGCTTCAAGGCGCGGCCCGGCCAGGCCGCCCCCGCCTCGTTCAAGTCCGTGCGCCGCGTTGCCGCGCTCGCCCGCCGTTCGAGTAGCCTTACCTCGAGTCGCCCCCAAACTTTGAGCCAACTTGGAGGGAGGAGGGATCCGGGGCTTCAAGTGGAACGAGTACAAAGTGTGATCAAAGGCTGATTACGGGCTTCGGCCTTCGGTCCAGGGGTTGGCGCGGGTTGGCGGGCCGCGTCGTCGTCGTCGTCGTCGTCCTCATCGTCTCGCTTGTTTGCTGTGGGCTCTCCTCCTTTGGCTCTCTTCCCCCCCCCCCCTCTCTCCTCCGCTGGAACGCTGGAACTCGACTTCGCGGCGGTGCAATGCTGGCAATGCGAACCAGCGGGTGGAAATCCAATGTGACTATTGGAGAGCGAACTGGGAACAGGGAACGGGGTGGCATGGTGGCGTTTGGCCCGAGATCCATCAAGATTAGTTTCCCCCTCAAGTTGGCGTGTCCCGGCGGTAATGAGTGAGTCATGCGCCTTTGATTGTGTCAGTCTCGGGTCGACTCGCCTGCTCACTTCGCCTAGCTTCGCTTCGCCTATAGTTTGAACCGAACCCGCTTCAACCCACTTCACTCCTCTATTCAACCCACTCCAACCCGCGTTGCCCTGCTCCGCATCGGCCCGCTTCACCACGCTTCACCACGCTTCAACCCGCTTCACCCCGCAACGCCCCGCTTCACCTCGCTTCACCCCGCTTCGCGTCGCAATCACCGCGTCCGCCGTCGGTCGGGGTTCGGGGTGGGCGGTAAAGTAGATTGATGAATGGACTCCAGTGTAATGTGGCAACTGGAAACTAACTTGGTCTCGCGTGATGTCATGAAACCTGAAGTCGCTCCGGTGCACGCCACCGGCCTGGCCGGGCCCCGTGCCTCCCCTCGACGCCCAGGCGGCCCAGCCCCACGCCCAGCCCCACGCCCAGCCCCACGCCCCACGGCGCCGAGCCACCTGTCCCGCTCCCTTCAGACCCCTCCAGACGCCCCCCAAACCTCCCAAGGTGGCCATAAACGTCACTCCTAAAATTGTACCGTGTTTGATTTTTTTTAGAGGGGAGATATAGACTTAAAATAGTTTCATTTGATTTTTTTCCTTCATTTTTCCCTCACTCTGCGGCTTTGGCATTCCCGCGCTGCCCCGTCGTCGTGCCCCATCCTCTCGGGTATCTCTCCCGGACGACGCCGACGGCGGAGATTCGCGTCGCGATGAAGTGAAATTAGAGGGAGAAAAGGGAGGAAAGAAATACTCGGGCAATTATGTGTGCCGCCAGCTCCGCGCTCCGCCAGTCATCGCGATCCTCGTCACGACTGGGTCGCCGAGAATGTTGGAGTTTGATGGCTTTGGCTGCTTTGGCGGAGTCGGTCTGTCGGACCCGTCGGACCCGGACCGGCTCGGGCAGAAAGGCAGGCATAGACAGTCGTGCCGGAGCCTGGAGTCTCCAGCCTGGAGAAGCTGGGGCCTCGGGCCTCGGGTCGGCGACGCCATGGCGACGCGACGCGACTCGACGCGGCGCAAGTAGCCACTGCAGGAATGCCAACCTTGAGATTTGCACAGCGTCTGCAGTCGCGCGCGTCGCGTCGCTTCGCGTCTCATTGGGGGGGCTGGGGCTTTGGCTGGGCTGGGGGCTGTCCCTAACCGCGGAGATGCGGCAGGTCAGCCTGCAGAACCATATGCCACAACGTGTTTGCTTCTGCCGCAGGTCACCATGCTCAAGAACGGCACCGCCATCCCCTTCCACAAGAAAGTGTGCCCGGGCTGCCACAACGTTCCTAAGTCCAAAGAGTGGGTGCTCGCCCCGGAGAGCTCGGGGCTCCACGTGTTCCACATCGGGAAGCGGCTGGGCTACTTCGTCCACTGGGAGCCCATTTTCATCGGCACGCACAGGGATCCCCTGTATGATGAACGGCTCTCGTGGGAGGGCAAGAGCGACAAAATGACACAGGTGAGCAGTTTGTCGCTGTACCGGAAGCATGAAGCACGTGGTCTGCTTTGTTCCGTTTTTTAAAACCGTAGTCCCCGTGTTAATTATTTTTTTAATTGTTCCCAGGGTTATGCGCTGTGTGTCCTTAACTATGATTTTCAAATTCTTGACAATGCCTTTCTGGTGCATAAACCTGGCATTAAAACATTGAAAAAGGATCCTCAGAGAGCGATGCTAGCTGGCAAAACTAATGTGCTCATCAGAAGAGTCATCTTCCCAGAGCTCAAAGTGCTTTATGGTACTCGCAAGGGCTGTGCTGTCTGACATCTCTATTAGTCTTGTCTCCAAGAGGTAAGGGAAACTGTTCCATAACAAATAGTCCTTTATCACAGTGTTTTGTTGTCTCTGCTTGCTGACAATGCATGTTTTTCTTATTTTTCTAGATTTTGCAAAATCAGAAGCATTCTGCCAACAAGTTTTAATTTATGATTTTAAAAGTGCAGCAGAAGACTTGTGGAATTAGATGTTGACTATATGAAGATAATTTTCTACTGCTTAGTGCTATTTATTTATTCGATTTTGCATCTTGCTGAATTTGTTTTCAACATGTGTCTGTGAACTATTAAGTCAACAGCAGTGTTGTTTTGCAACAGTTGGTGCAATTAGTGTCATAAGGAAAACTTTGAATACGTCTTGGTACGTCTTCTGCTTCACAGGTGCCGTAAAGTGGAGCAGAAGAAATTCCAGTGTTGTGATAATCGTAGTATGTGCTTGAGAATGGAATGAAGGTCAAACGATCTCTGAACTCAGCAGGAAAAGTGTATTATTTTTGTAATACTTTTTTTTTCCCCTCTTAAAATAATAGGAATGAATGATGATTGTGTGTGTATGTTTGTTTGTGTGTGAGTTAGTGTGTGTGTAACTTGTGACATCCTTGTGGAGAGAAGCAGTTGGGAGAAGTCTGAAGATGCACAGTCTTATGACTATCGCCATTTTAGTTCCAGTCACATTCAACTTTTTTTTTCTATAGGAATTAAATTATGAATGGTGCCAGTTTTCTTTATAGCAGTCATTATATCATTGTGACCTTGCTGTCTTAGAAAAATTGGTATTGAAAACAGTGCCTCAAATTCAATTGATTTTTACATAGAGAATATCATAGCAAATATTTTAATAGAATAAGAAGTAGATGTAAAATTGTAATTCTTTGACTGACATGTGGTTCTGGTACCTTGAAAATCAAAATATCCACCTTTGTTAATTAAAGTTGTATTCTATCTATTAGGAATAATTCTGACAATTTTTTTCCAATCCCCTAACTAAGCAGGCTGTTCAACAATTTTTTATTAGAAGAATTTTTTGCCGTTTGAGGAGATTGACTTCAATTATCTGTACCTCTTCCCCCCTTCCCTGTAAAAAAAGATTTTGAACTACTATTATCCCATACAGTATGCTATTAATCCTCCCCCTTCCTCTGAAGCCTGCCCTTCCATGTTGTTTAATTATGGGTTGTTACGGGACACAAAAGATGACTGATTTATCTCTTACTTGTATTGTCAAATTAATGTTTCTGGTTTGTAATTTATTGTTACGACACATTTTTTTAAATTTTGTTTTCTTTAAAGAAGAAGTTATATTGTCAAGGCGTTTATTTGAGGAAAACTGCAAAATTTTCTTTTAAAATTTTGGGAAACAAAAGTGGTGCATTCTGAAATTTGGTGAAAATGATCTGTGCACGTGTTTACCCAGAAGATTCCATGGGAAATGATTCATCTACGTAATTAATTTGCATCTACATTGTATAATGCCTTCTAATGTAAAGATTTGTCTCCCCAATTTGAATTTCACCTAGTGAGAGTATATTTTTGCATATAACTATGTTTTACCAGTAGCACAAGAGTGCAGGGTTTTGTATTTTTGCTGTCTGTATGGCTTTTCTTCTCACCAGAGCCTTTACAAAATTCTTACTTATTTTTGTTTTGGTTTGCTTCTCTTCAGTCTCTCATGCTTTTTCCATAGACGATTAGTATCTTACTCTGGCAGTCCTATTCGTGTTGCAAGAAGATTTGCATGGATCAATTTGTAATAAATCAAAATTAGGTAACTTTTAGGTATATTCTTTTGTAGACACTCTTTCCTCCTCTGCTTCCCCCTTTAAAGATTGTGCAAACTTTGTGATATCTGTCTTACATACATATCACTGTTGATTCTTATGTCTGTCTGTAGTAAATCAAAAGACATTTTCATTTCTTGATATAATTTGAGTGATTCTCCCTGTGCAGCTATACAATGCTTCTGAAACAAAATGTATGAAAAGGATCCTTTCCAGAACCTAACGGATAATTTTTGCCAAACAAACTGCTTTATTTAGTAATTCAACGAACACAGATGGAAAGTAGTTCATGTGGCTCTATTTGAAGTTGAGCTGTTTCATCTAGTCGTTAGTTCAGTTCAGGATTTTTATTATCGGTCCCTAGTACTGATCTGGGAAACTTGCAGCTTGTAAGACACAATGCCAGACGAACTACTGTCATGTTTCTCATCATAAACAGTGTTTCTTTGTATTTTGATTTCTCGTTTGGCTTCCAAATATGTTCTGACATGTTTGTAAGCTTTGAATTCCCCTTAAATGTCCAAAAGTTTTGGCAGAGAATTGATTTTGAAAAACGACACAGGCTATCTGTAGTAGTTAGTGCTCATGTTTTGTTTAATGTATCATTTGCTCAATTTTTTTTTATTTTTTTTAGTTTGATTTGATGTGGCTCATGAAGCTGTATCAGTTTTAATGTCGTGTTAGTATGGTTCTTTGATGGCTTGGAATCTTAGAAGGCTTCTTCGTCATCAGGCTGCAAAGCTGGTCTGGGTATTTGTTCAGATGTAAATCTTTGTATTATTATGTTAAGATCCATGCAGTTCTTCAAATGTATGAGAAAGGATACACCTTACCATTTTTCAGTTAGCAGTGATTCTTCTTGTCTAGTTTATATTTTTGTACTTTCAAAATTTGTTTCTGGTATGGAATATTTTGCATGCATTATTGCCAAGTTTGTAAACCACGAATTCAATGAGATTTTAATTCTGAGATGGTATGTGGTATCAAACTGACAAGCTCTTGTTAGGATAAACTAAGTGGTCTGTTCTATAGAAAAGTTTGCCAACACAGCTTGCTTTACCCTAGAAATTTTAGTATTTACCTTTCCAAGTGCCAAAATGAAGTAAGACAGTGTAACTTCTCACAGCTCCATTTTTTTCTTCGAGTTTTATAAATTATTATTTTGTTGTTGTTAGAAGAAGAAATATTATCCCTTTTGAAGTGATGCCTTCCATTTTAGTTGACCAATGACAAGCTCAAATGCATCTGATAGTGCATTAAGTTGTGTTGACCTATTCCTGCAATCATCACAACTATCCAAACCACCAATATGTGATTGTTGTGTTTTCTGAAATTACATCATGATATTGTAAGATTATGAAAAAAAAACAGGCAGTGGTCCTGCAAGTTGTGATAATTGCAGACCAACTGTAGGATTTTGAAAGATGTTTTGTTTAGTTGATGTTCCTATATGAGTATACATATGGAGCCACTTCCCAGTTGCAATCCTTGCACTGTGTGCAGAATGTACAGCTGATATTTTCTGTACTCTTGTCTCCTTGCAGAGTTCTTGTAATTGTAGCTAGCTAAAGTAAATTTGTTAATTTTATGGCACTGTTATGTTTGTTTTATTTTGTTTCTTATGTATCAAAAAGCAATAGTTTGACTGATTTGTTCTTGTTAAAGGGATTGTGCTGGTGCTGAATCATGAATTTTTAATTTTATATTAACTTGAATGATGACATTCTCAAAGGAAAATATTTAAGTGCTTCATATGACTTGTAAATTTTGTTTTGTCTCAAATTGGTTACTTGATAATGCACCTAGCCTTCCCATTCCTTTACAGTTTTGGTTAATCTCTTGTAGGATTCTTTCATAGGATTTCTTTTTCTTTATACTTCAATGTGATGCAATGAAATTTATTTAAAATAAATGTATATTTCTTTATGAACTTGTGTTTTTGGTCACTCACTTCCTCCAAAAAATAAAGTATCCTTTGATTATGAACTGGGAGAACGCAGCGAGAGAACTTGTTTGAATTAAAATATACTTTCTTACAATACAGATCACTTAAAATTTACACTTAACGATATATCGATAACTAATCACAGTTTGTATTATCATGTAGGGCAACGATGTCCATTGGTGGTTGGAGCTGGTGTACACGCCCAAATCAGAACAACCGGGTCTGCCTGAAGTCGTTTCCGCTGCGGAAGGCTGGGGCGCTGAAACCAAACGACGAACGCGGAGCAGTCAGTGCTCAGCCCAAGCTCCCCCTTCTTCCCCTCTCCACCACCAACAGCAAGTGGCAAGTGCCTCACCATCCCGTCACGTTCTCGGCGACGTCGCAGTGGCCGAGCTCCTCGCTGAAGGCGTTCCCCTCGCCGCAGTTGTACCGCCTGGGCCTGCCGTTGACGCACGCGAAGTAGTGCTCGCAGTCAGTGTTGGAGCGCAGGAGGCGGGTCTCGGCGGGGCGCTGGCCGAACAGGAGGGGCTCCTCGGGGCAGCGGAACTGCAGGAACGCTGAGGACAGAAGGCAGGGCGACGGGGCGAAATGAAACCGACGTGTGGTGTATCACGAGCCATGCGCCTCGTGCGCACAGCGCACAGTGGGTCAGAAGACCGGTGGAGGCGGCCAAAACTCTAGACGCTCCACAGTCGCTAAAGACCACTTGAACCGAACGTGTGACCCTATACCAATGGATTCCTCGCACGGAAAGCAATCTATTGGGGGGCTCACACACAGTCGCTTCCAGTCACAGTTAGCGACTCAGGAGCTCAAAACCCGTCTAGAGTTTAGGTTCATCGGTCTTCGGGCCCACGGTGCAGCGTTAGCCTGTTCGGAGGTCAGCAGAGGTACTCACCCTCCGCGTCGCAGGACGCCACCTGGTCGGGCCAGTCGCAGTGGTAGGTCTCCGGGTTGAAGGCCAGCCCGTCGGGGCAGTCGAACACGTAGCCGCGCCCGGCCGCGCAGTTCATGAACTTGCCGCAGTTGGCGGCGTCGCCCAGCGCGTAGTAGCCGTACTGGTGGGGGCAGTCCTCGGTGGGCTGGGCCGGCTCTGCAACAAGAGCGGGGCGTCGGACGGGGAAGTCCCAAGGGCCGGTCGTGCGCCGCGCGGGACGCGGTAAGCGGGGATACTCACGGACGGCGGAGCGCGTCAGGCACTGCACCTCGTTGGGGTAGCTGCACGGGTAGCTGAAGGGGCTGTTCTTGTCGTTGAACAGCAGCCCGTCCGGGCACAGCTCCTCCTTGGCCACGCCGTTCTCGCACTTGTAGTACGCGTCGCACTGGCGCGAGTTGGCGAAGTAGCCGTTGCGCTCGGGGCAGCTGAAGCCACTAGCCTGCTGGAACTGCTGGAACTGTTGTTGCTGGAGCGGCTGCTGGAACTGCTGCTGCTGCTGCCTCTGGAACTCCGGCTGCCTCTGGAACTGCTGGAACTGCGGCTGCTGCTGCCTCTGGAACTGCGGCTCGGCGAAGCTGCCGAACGACTGCTGCTGCCTCGGCGAGCCGAGCCGCTGCGCGCCGCGTTGGAAGCCCTGCTGCTGGAACACCTGGCCGCGGGCTGCGGACAGGAGGCGGTTCAATAAACACCGAGAAGCACGCGCTTCGTGCTTTGCGGCCGTCGGGGCTTGGGGCTTCCCTCCGCTGCGTAGCACTGCGTAGGGTATGCAGCACGCAGCGCCCGCCCCGGCCGGCCCGTTGGCTGGACGGCCGGGCACACGCGCGCGTACAGTTAGCACGGAACGGCCTACCTCGAGCACGAGGACCTGTCCTCCGACCAGAAAACGAAGGCCTCTGAGTCCTCGCGGTCAAAGGGCCACTGCCGCCTTGACTACCATTGGCAGCGGCCCTCGGCCGGAGTATAAAGGCGACGTCGCCTTGCAGCAGCGGAACGAGGAACGACGCGGTTCCCGGCACCGTGCGGCGCGGCCGGCCCCGCTCCGCTGCTGCCGACTCGCGCTTTGGAAATGGAGAGTTCGCACCAGCTATTTCAGCTGCTGCCGACCGTCGCGCGCGCCGAGCGCCGGGCGAGCAGGCAACGCGGGCGCTGCGGCGCGTCGCCGCCGGGCGGTTGCCTACCCGGCAGGCGCTCGCCGCCACCCCGTTTCGCAAACTGAGGAGGTTCGCTGCCTCGCGCCTGGCAGCGCCTGGCGCAACGAGCGCCTTCTTGGTCCTCGTCACGACCGCCTCTTGAGATGCCAGAGAGGCTAGAGAGAGGCGACAACACAATGCGCGTCGCCCCGGCCTTGACACCCATGGCGCCCCGAAACAAATGCAAGCAGAGTCAATAGCCCTCGACGCGGCGTGGCGTGGCGCTCGGACCAAGTCGCCGACGGCTAGAGTGCCCCCAGCAGCGCCGGCAGCAGCAGGTTCGGAGGATGGGCTGCAGTGACTCACGGACTCACACGGCAACAACAGGCAACGCAAGCAACAAACGCGGAGGCAGTCGAAAGGTCAGAGGATCGTGTTCAAGGAAAGCGACAATTCGGTGTGTCGGACCGGGCGGCCGGGCCGCGCCCGCGTCGCTCCTCTGGGCGGGTGATCTCTCATCCGAAAGGTTTCCGTCGGATTCGGTTATTCGTTGCAGCAGGTCGAGCATGGAGTGCAACAAAGGGGTCCGATGACGGTGTCTCGCGTGCGGCGCCGCCATGGCGCCGTGGCGGCGCGAGGACCGAGCACCGAGAACGACCAGGACGATCAGAACGACGCCGGGCCGCAGCACCACGCATCACGCGCCACTTGCTGCTCAACAAGTAGTGCCTCCGCGTCCCCGCCCCGCCCCGCCGCGCGCCCCACCCTCAGGCCGAAGACGATGACGCCCCGGCGGCCTTGCGTGTCGTCTGTCGTCCGACTCCGGCGGCGACGGTACAAATCAAAACTCACTCCTGCTCGTCCCCGGCGCGGCGGCGCGACAACGCTCAAGGTCGCACAGGTTCCGGTTCTCGCTGCCGGCCGGGTCATCTCGAGTAGGAGCAGCGGCCCAGCGGCCCAGCACCAGCACAGGCAGGCCGACTTGGAGGAGAGCACGGCGGTACGCGGTTTGAAACTTCGATTCTGTTATTTCTCGTCAGTCCCACACCACCACGTTGATAGGAGGACCTTCCACATCCGAAAGTTGGGCGGGGGTGGTAGTTGTTCCGAGAAACGGAATTCCCTACACCGGAAATAGTCACAGATTTGCGCTCCACCAAAGAAGAACGCACGGCGGAGGAAGCGGGAATCCTCGTGATCCTGGTGCGGTGCTTACCGAGGCAGGCCAGGGCGAGGACGGCGACGACGGCGGCGTGCGCGGTGCTGCGGGCGAGTCCAGGGGTCGTCATGGCGGTGCGTCTCCTGGCGGGCACTGGGCGCGAATGAGAATGAGATGCACAGTGGGCCACCGTCAGTGCGGCCCCACCTGTCCCGCCAAGGCGTGCCGCCGTGCCGCGCCGCCGTGCCTCTGGGTGCGTCCGAAACCCGCCGCCCCCGTCCACGGGTGTCGCCGTGAGTGGGAGAGAGACGCAGCTCGCGTTATGGCTCTAAGCGACACCGCCCGTCCGTCCGCCACCTCTCCGGGGGCGCGGTGGGGACAGTTGTCGCGACCCGACCCTCGCGGCAAGCGCCCCGCGGCAAGCGCCCCCCGGCGAGCACTTCGACCCCGCCACGCCCTTTGTTTCGTTCCGTTTTGCTTTTGTTTTCCAGGGGCTGGCAACGCTGACAACCCCACCCCTTGGCGGTGGTTTCGCAGAACCGGCCGTCCGCATGGCGCGCGTTTGACCCGCGGTTTGACCCCATGCCGCCCTCCCACCTTGCCTTGCGGCCGCGGCCCTAGCGGCCCTGCCCGCCGTGCCTAGAGAGCCTCGAATGGTGGCCATGCCATGCCAGGGGCGGAGCGGGGCCAGTCCAGGCCAGTCAAACCGAACCGCGGTCGCCCACCGCCCACAAAGAACACTCGCAGAGAAGGAAAACCGCGGCGGCGGCGGCCCAGCAGCCACGCGTGAGCAGCTGCGCGATTCGGAAGAGCGGTTCGTCGCTCTGTCTCAGTCGCACCCTTACGGAGTGTCCCACCTAGTGCAACAGAGAGAGGACGAGGAAAGGGCTCACCACCTGATATGTGATGCCCCCACTGCCTCACAGTCAAAATGATCCGCGAAGCGACGCCGGCCTCGGCGCCACACGCACGCACGGCTCCTGGCCAGCAACCCCCGGGGAAGTCCCCAGCACACGTCCCGAAAATGGCGGGGCGGAGCGCCGGCGCCACTCGCGTATCTCATCTTTCTCATCTCGGTGTCGACGACATCGGACACCGGGGCGAGCTGAGCGAGCTGCATCCCCGCGGCGCCGCGGCCTGATGGTGGACCGATACCGCGGACATGGCCTCCGCGGAAAGAGAAAGCGAGGGAGATTTCGAGATGCGTCTTGTCATCCACGGGGCATGTCGTCCACAATTTGGGCTTGTGTCCGATTCTCACCTTTCATTAGTTTCTGGAAACTTACGTTAATGGCACGCTGCGGGGGAACGTGGGTTTATTTACGGGTATGGGAATAATGATATTGTGCGCTGTTTGCTTTAGTTTATTCAATTAAAATTCAACCAGAATTATGACAATCCCACCAACGTTAAAACAGTGTACAGCTCGGTACAGCTGCAATGAAAAAATATTTATTTAGGTGACAGTCTGAAAAAAATGACTAAAATACACACAAATTTTCACACCTTGGTGACCGTTGGTGACGGCAATACATTTAAAATAAGTGACAAATTTAATTTTAAAACATGAAAAATGTGATAAATAAGTTAAGTGACAAGAAGAGGTACAAAGTTATTCATGTTTCTACTTGAAAAATAAATTATTTCTAGGAAAGATACAAGATTGCTCCTATCATAAAACAAAAGAATATAAAATTGTGATGTCAAAGCTCTTGTAAAAAATAAAGAAGTACAAAAGTTGCCCTGAAGAAAGTAAAACCCACCATCATTCTCTTTCAACATCTCCCACTGCATCTTCTGGTTCATAAGACTGCAACTTCTTACGAAGTTCCTTTATCTGCTCATTCTTTGTGGTCAAGATTTTCTTCATTGTAGCATATGCAGCTGTCTGGCTGAATTTCCTTTCAAGTTCCTAAGTTTACAGGAAAATGAATATAACAGTTGGTCCGGTAATGTAAAATTTTGAAACGTCAAAGGAAAGAAAACTTACCTGCTCTGCCAACTGGAGCTGAGATTGGACTTGGAGTAATTGCTCACTAGTCTGATCTAACTGTGTTAGAACTTCTTGGCGACCTTCTTCAGTCTCTTTGAGGCTGCAACTGAGTGCACTTAGCTTGTTCTCCACCTACATGTAAAGTTGCATTCATAAGTCATGAAAAGTGTCCCTTTCCTTTCTCAGTAAAAGAGAGTAGGCTTCCATATGGAATTTTCACAAATCATATTAGTTGCTCTTTACCTCCTCAAAGTGACTTGTGTCCAGCTCTAAACTTTTTGATAGGTTGGCCTTTTGGAATTGCTCCATTTCATCCTTGAATTCAATAAGGCTCCTTTGCAACAAACTCCTTTCTTGTTCAAGGCGATGCACCTATATTACAATAAAAAGAAAGTAAGTCTAACCACAATGGAAATAGTAAGCAATACAGTTTCCACTCACTTGTCCTTGCAGATCGTGGATTTTATTTTGATGGTCAACATTCTCCTGACGTAATAAATCATTCTGTTCACGCAACAGTTGACCAGGCCCTTGTGACCCTTCGTTTCCCAATGGTTCCAATTTTTCTGGTCTCCTTGCAGCAAAAGGCTGATCTTCACCCTTTTCCCATGCCTTCACTTTCTCTAACAGTTCCCTAATTTTTTAATTTATTTTAGTTAATGGTGACAAACAGTAAAGTTTAAAAGGTTTCCATTTGGAAAAACTCATATAAGGAATATTTTTTGAACTTACTGATCCTGAAGTTGATCTAAATCTACCTTCAACCTCAAATGCCACTTCTCAGCTTGTGAGCAGAGTTGTTGAATGAGCAGAACATTAATATGGGCAAAGCTGATAAGTTCAGTTTCCATATCTCCTCGTACAACTTCACTCAAAGTAGTCAACATCTCTCGAACTTCTTCAGCAGTGTAAGTTGCTTCGAGGAGTCTATTTTGAAAAGAACAAACATTAATAACTGAAAATAAGGTAAGAAACCATCCTCAAAATAATTTGATCACCTGGAATCAATGACATCCTGAAATGCATATTGAATTGCCTTCATGTTTTCATTCCGCTGGTACCGAGCGAACTGTGAATAACGCTTAAGTAACTCTTGATGAGTTTCATTTAAACTCAAGTCGGCCTAAATATGCAAAGATTCAAATAAGACAGCAATAAGCAAGCAACAAAATTTAAAAAAAAAATCTTACGAGCTATTCAAGGAATTCAACTATATGTCTCCACACTTACCTCCCCATTAAATAATAGAAGTAAAGCCAAAAGGAAAGGAACCAAATCTCTACAAAAGAATGGTTTCAAATGTGCATGGAAATTATAGTGCGAAAAAAATCTAGGAAGGGTGACAGTTACCATAGTTTTTGATGTTGAAATGGTTCTTCTAATGGAAATTCGATAGGACGAAGGACACAGCCGTTATTGGAGCGAAGTGGGTAAAACTAGACTTCTGAAAGAGAGAAGCTCAGGGGAATTTCCAATCAAAGAAGGAATTTGTTTACTAAACAAGCGACGGCAGCAAACATCAGAAGAGAAACTTAACTCAAAATTTAATATTTTCTTTACTTAGAATGATCTTTAAAATTAATTGTAAGAATTTCAAGGAAATAATTTGAACTTAAATTTCCTATAAATTATTTGACCTATTATTCTTATGATAACTTCCTATCACTAAAGGTCTCAGTCTTAAATCTTGTGAACGTTGGCTAAGTTGTTGTCCTCTGCTACTGCTCAACTGTTATGAGAAATTCAGGTACACTTTGTTTTCTGTTCTGTTTGTCTACTGCTACACGGCGAGACTGTAAGAAACCAAACGGAATGCTCTGACTGAACATGTAAATAAATGAGTGACAAGTGAAAAATGGGTAGGTTTAAACTTTTCATTTTCGTGCCTCTTCGGATGACATATTTTTGTAATTTTGTAAAGAGAACAGTGTGTTTGTTTCTGATTTAAATTCAGCTCCCATGACTTTCCCCTTCTGTTTTCCAGATCGATTGGGCTAACTTCTTAAGCACGGCTGACTTTTATCGGAAATTTGCCGAAATGGTTGGTGGAGGAGGGCCTCTACGTGGCAGTGTACGTTGGGCTTATAACACAAGAGCCTGGGAACCAACCGAGCAGGAATGGCTCCTTGCTTCAAGGTGCATTCCATTGGAAGAGAAGCAGCGAGTTCAGAAATTTGTTTTCAAAGCTGATGCCAAAGCTGCCATGGCTGGATGCCTTATGATCAGGAAGCTTGCTCACTTGGTCACAGGTGACCCCAATGATAAAATCGAGATCATAAGGGAGAATGGACGTCCACGCGTTAAAACAACAAATATTCACTTAGACTTTAACATATCTCATCAAGGACACTTCACAGTGTTAGCAGGTGAGGTAGGCAATGATGTGATAGTTGGAGCAGATGTAATGAACTTGCACCGCAAAACAGGGAGTCATCTATCTGAGTTTTTTCGCCTTATGAACAAAACATGTTCCTCCGATGAATGGAATACGATTTTATCCTCAAACTCTGAGGAACAGAGAGCTGCTATGTTTTTTAGATTTTGGTGTTTAAAGGAAAGCTTTACCAAAGCAACAGGTGTTGGAGTAAGATCAGACATGCGTCACATTTCCTTTCAATTAAGGACCCCATGGTTGAATGAGAAGACACCAGTAACTGACACTTTTGTTGAAATCGATAGGGTAAAGAATTCAGCTTGGTGCTTCCATGAATGGTTATTGGACCCTAAACATTGTGTTGCTGTTGCCCTATCAAGTAAAGCTAATACATGTCCAAATGTTGAGCCAGTGCCTTTTACCTTTTTGACATTGTCAGACCTTTTAAGAGACCTTGAGCCCATGCTGCCACCAGATGTGATATCTTGCCATTCTTTCTTGAAGAAGGAAGAAAGTGGTAGAGCTCATGAAGATTCTGTTTTATGAGATACCTCTGCTTTGCTTTTATTATTGGTGGATCATGGAGACATGGATGGATCACCTTTACAGAAATTGTGATTTGGCAACGGCCGATGTCTGTACATTCCAAACCCATTGATTAAAATAAATGTGTGTCCAATGCATTTTATGAGTAACTTTGCCCTTTTTCCCTTCACTGAGAATTTAAGTAGGGAGGGTAAGAACTGCACGGTAGAGTCCTGCAGTACCCCTTTTACGTGATTCTAGCGTTCCAGTACAGGACTCTAGTGTCTGCTCGCCTGCCTACAATAAATTTTTCATACGCATGCACACACAGTAGTGAGTGCCTGTGTTCTGCTGCAGGTGTGTTGGCATAAACAGCTGTCGGCATTCATTGCAGTCTTTAGGAATTTTAAACAGAAGCCTTGCGGGCCCGCACCATTGCCCATACATTGTGGTGATTGGCTGCTCTTGGCGTCATTTTCGGTGTAGAACAGAGTTTCCATCATGCAGGTACGGCGTTGTGAAAAGTTTATAACCTCAGACTTCTGACAGGATTGTGTGCATTTTTATGTCACGCTATGGCCTTTACAAAGAACAATCATTATTTATTACCATGGTTATTTTTTTTGTGTGTTTTCTCTGTGACATGCTATCCTCGCATTTATTCCTTACACATCATATGTCGTGGCAACTTACTTTTCTCTTTCTTTCTGTAGGAGCAATTTATTCCTATTGACATCCACACCAACAAATTGCCAGACTGGCTTATAAGCCGCAGGCATTGCATAAGAGACTGGCAACCTGAAGTGGAACTGATACGAGAAAGGATAAATAATGCTATCCAAGATATGCCCATTCATAAAGGCATAACCAAGTTATTGTCTGGAACTTGTATGTATTGTTATTGTTGTTTTCTTCCTGTTTACTAATTAGGATCCACTTTAATGAGCTTGTTTCATGGCCAATAATTCTTTTTTTCTACAGACATAAACTATTTTCACTGTCTGAAAATCGTAGAAATCCTAAAAGAAACAGAAGCAGATAGTCGGAATGTCTTTGGGCGTTATGGCTCTCAGAGAATGAAGGATTGGCAAGAGATTGTACGGATGTATGAGAAAGACAATGTCTATCTCTCAGAAGCTGCTCAAATGCTTGTGCGTAATGTGCAGTATGAAGTTCCCGGCATCAGGAAGCAAATATCGAAGTGTGAACAGATGCAAAATGTAAGTAGCAGTCCTAACTGCTATCATGATTTTTAAAATACAATTTAAAATATCAGTTTAGTTTTTAATTGTGTTGATACTTTGCAGGAATGTGAGAGGAGAGAAACTGAATTAAAAAAGCAAGAAAACTCTGCTCTTAAAGAGTTTAATGTTTCTTGCCAAAAATTAGGTATCAAAGGAAAAAGTATCAAGAAGGAACTAGTTGAGCGTTGTCAAGAACTTCCCACTGTGTACAAAGAAATGGCCCTTGCTTTGCCGTCATTGGGGCCAGCAGCAAAACTTTACAAAGCATTTATGGATTTCATGTGTGAACCTGATGGCAAAAGAGAATGTGTTCCTTTGCTTTTATTTATGATAGGTGAGAGTCACCAAGGCCTCATGCTGCATCATTCCATTGCATTTAAAAAAATTACAGAATTGTTAAGTTTCTAAATTTGTTACTTTGTTTTTCAGAAAATGGTAATACAACTACTTATGAGTGGATCCACAAAGAAAAGCCCTTGAAAGTGGAAGAACCAATTTTCAACATTTCATTGGATGATGAAGATGAATCAAAGAAAAGTGATGTGGTCAGTGCCTTCTCCTTTCCTTATTATAAATTAATCCACTATGAAATCTCGTTATCATCAATATCTTACCTCTGGATTACTTTTGTTTCTAGATTGACTTTGGAGATGGTATTGACTTTGGAGACAGCAGTGGAGGAATCGACTTTGGCGAGGATGTGCAGGTAGAAACTGGTGACATTGATTGGGGATCAGGAGATGGTATTCAAATAGACAGTTCTTCTGGTGCAGAGGTGAGAGATGGCTAGTCATAAGTTTCTTCTTACTGTATCTGCTGGGTCTTCAACTTTAAATTATCTTCTTGTTGAATAGGAAATTGACTTCAACATTTCCCTTGAGGAGAGTGGAATTGAAGTGCAAGGAGGAGGTCTAGAAGGAGGTGTAGCTTCTGGCAATGAGGCTCTGAACTTGCTCGACAACCCGGTCACAAGAATGGATTTCATCAACGATTTGCTTGAGGTAACACCTACATGTACACATCATGTTGCTTAACTAACAACCATTTTGCCACCAGAGCTTCCTATTTTGCCTTTTTTAAAATTTTGTTACAGGTGGAATCTTTTCTTAAGATTAGGATTCACGAGTTATCATCTGGTGGCAGTGATATGTTATCTCTCTCCCAACTTCAAAATTCTGAGACACTTTTGCAGGCTCAGACCATTGAAAGTGTACAGGAAAAGCTGAAAAATGTTCAAACAATGATAACCAAAATGAATGATCCAACACTACACCATTTGTACACCATTCGCCATTCTCCAAGGTACAAACTTTATCTGTTTAATTGATAACAGTGTTTCTTGTGGTTCATTTTATTTCAAAAATTTCTGTTACAGGTATGTTGACAATCTTGCAGCAACTCTTAAGCAGAAACTTTCTTTGGTGGACAAGAGCATCACACAACAAAAGTTAGTTAATGCGAAGGGCATTGAACATGGAGAGTTAGCTAAAGAGCTTCGCCCAAAGCTTGAGCTAATTATATCTAAAACAAAGGAACTGCAAAGCCAGGTAAAGGGTTTGATCTAGATGATGGTTATATATGCATGACACTTTTCTAATTTACTTTTAATAATTATATTTCTAGATTGAGGCAGATATTTCAAAGAAGTACAAAGGACGTCCAGTCAATATCATGGGTGGTGTTAGTACATTATAATCAAAAGTAAAAAAAAAAATAGTTTTTTAATTTTATTGTTATAATTTTTCTCAGATTGTTTTTATCATTGAAAACAGCAATATGTATATTCTCATTTATTGTAAATAGTAATTGGCTTGGAAATGTAAAATGCATTTACAGGTGCAGTTTTCACGTTTGTACTTTGTGGAAATAAAGCGCTCAAACAGGTTTGCCTGGCAAAAAGAAACAAAACACAAACTTTGTCTGAAAAAAATCTAAGCCTTATTCTCACTATATGTATTCATGTTTAGCCAAACAATGACAACAATAACAACGGCGGCGGGAACTCTTTTGCATCTTAGAGGGGGAAAAGCTAACCCTTCTACTTGAACAGAGCCGTGAGCCCCGCCACCAAGGTAGGCCACCCATTTGACACACACTCTGGGGTGGGTGGGAGCCGACGGTAGACAGACGGCAGGAACACTTCTGCAGAGCAGAGGGGGAGATGAACAGACAAGTGTTTGCTTCGGATTGCCTGGAGCCGCGCCGTCAAGGTAGGCCACCCATTTGACACGCTGTGCAGCAGCAGTGCTGCCGGTATTTGAACCCAAGTACTAAGTTCTCCTACCCGCGACCGGTTGAATCGATTTCACCGATTGATTTGAATCCTTCTAATCTTAGAGTGATGGTACCATGTTCAAGCAGTCAACTGAGGAAAATGTTCCTGAACCTGGGATTCCAATCCAAGTGCTCTCCCGGGGCCGCTAGGGTCCCGAAGACAGGAAAATCATCTTCTGTTTTGGTCTTATGGCTCACCCAATAATTTGCGTATCAACGACTTTGTGTGCAGGAGGAAAAATCAGTCAAAGGGGAGAAGAAAACACAACTTTAAATTCATGCATTCATGTATTTACCTAAACTTAAATGCTGACACAATTAAGAGAATAAACCATTCAATACGGAGACTGTAATGATAACAACTCGGTAAAAAGAAGTCCCATGGAAAGTTATTAGTTGCACCGAAACACTGTTTAGAGGCAACAAACACAGCTATATAGTAAGATGGAGTTAAATTTCACAAACTCTATTTAGTCTGTACTGTATGTTATGATTTTATTTGGATGTCAGCTACTTTAACAGAGGTCCAGCAAATTGATAAACAGTTTCGGTAAAAAGTTGAGGACCCAAAGAATTATTTTAATCTTCTTGAAAGCAATGTTCTTTACATAATAATGGGGAATAATTATTCTTTTCTAGAGGCGGTGTGACTAGCACATTATTATAGAAACTTGACACATCATGCACACAATATGGCACCACTTCCAATGACACTTAAGAATATTTCATGAAGCCATACCGTCCCAAAATTATGTGACCAATCAAGAAAGGAATAAAAAATTCTTAAATGAGAAGCCAAAACAAAAAAAAAGCAACACAAGTAGAGTAAGATTTGAGAGCTTGGAGTGACCAACATGGATATATCGGTGTATACCCGGTCTACCTTCTCCATAGGGTGCTTTAAGTAAAATTAGGAGGACACATTTCACATTTGTCCATTAAGTTTTGTTTTGTTTCAAAAAAAAAAGAGGAAAACGTGCAAAATCACTTCCAAGCTCAAACCTTGTAATCTTAGCTTGACAGCTTGAAGAGATATACAAAAGAGCAAAAGTAGAAATCAAGAGAAAACAACATGAAGGTCAAATACATTTTGGAAATCAAACGGCATTGTTATCTTGGAAATATTTACAAACAGAGTAATACTGTAAACAAGTTAGCTACGCCACACATCACATTCCCTGTGAGGTGGTTTGTTTTGCCACACAGCTTTTCACTTCAGCTCAACCTAACCCAAAGCCACCGGGCAGAAATTTAACAGCCACTCATAAGTTTTCCATTTAAATACTGAAAAATAGATTTCCCATGCTACCTTGCAATAAGCAAACATTTACAACAGTCTCACCTCCTCTGTCATTAAATCATTCCACAAACAGAACATCTGCATCTCCAGATCCACTCAGATTTTACTAAAATACAACAGCAACTACGGTTTGTCATGCGAGGGAGGAAGTGAAAGGATATGACATTGGCTAAGATTAATTATTGGGCCTCAAGTGTGAAAATGTTTTAACAAGCAACCTCTCTAGGATTTGCAGAGCAGAAAGAAGGTTTACAATTACAAGCAGTCAGTCCCCAGAGTATTTGTACATAATTGCCAATATGATAGAAGTCAAAATTTGATTGTTAAGATAAAATAATCATTACACAAGTTTTAAAAAAATTAGTAACAAAGGAGAAAAATTAAGAACAATAATTGGAACTAAATGAAGACCTCTGAGTGAGAATACTTGAGTTCATAGCATTCTAAGGATATAGCACCAGTGTCAAGCAAAAGAGGCAACACACAACATTACTGCATTTCAAGAAATCAGACTTCTTCAAACATATCATTTCCATTTGAAATGAGTATTCTTAGGGAATCATACATGATAATAATAACATAAAGCCAGAGCCACTTATGTTGTACTAAAACAAGAAGTGCATTTATTTACACTTGAGATGATGAAAAGACAGCAACTTTGAAGCAGGTGAATACGCAAGGATCAAACAGTGTGAGTATATATATTCGCATTTCAATTAATGAAAGATTCTGACACTGCTATGTGAGTGATGAGTACAATATTACAATTACAATCACAAGCAAAGACGTAAGCGAGTCATTAAGCAATCACAGACAGTGAGAATAGCACACAAGCGTGGCTCAATCAATCTTCACAAACATTCTAATATAGTACAAATATCAATCAAACAATCATTCTTAAGAGGTCAAAGGTTCAGCCAAACAATGTTCTACATAAAATTTTAAATGACTGCATAGGTGTGCAGGCTAGCATCCATGTATATATATATATAAAAAATCTAACTCAGTAAAAAAATGAAGAGAGATCAAAACAAAAAGTAATCATACTTTATCGGACATATAACTTCTTACTCAAAGAAAATTCAATCAAAACTATGATTTGCCTAGAATAAGATACAATATGAAGGGTTACTTTATTTAATTATTCTTCAACTAGTTTTTGCTAGAGTAAGCTCATCATAACATGACTATCAAGAAGGCTACAAACAGTATGAATATGGCTTGATGACTCCTCAAACATTTGACTACATAATATTTAAAAACAAATTTGTTTAAAATATTTCAGACGTAAGGATAATAATAAAAGAAACAAATTAAATTACTTGAAACAAATGACCAGAGAAAACAAGACCTAAAACATTAAGAACTAAATTACTCTTAAGTAAAAACAAAAGGTAACATGATAACCTATGTCTAAACAATACAGTATTTGCACTTGATACAGGCAATCTTTCTGTGGGGGCTTAAAATCGAGATGAATGGTCCTGAGTTGCAACAACCGCTGAGCGCCGAACAAGCCCCTTTCGGTCCCCTCGACAGCACAGCAGCCACTGCTCATCTACCTCGAGAACCAAGCTGAGCCGCTCGCCAGTGCTGAATGATAAATGGCCACTGTCAGATGCCAACTGATGTTTGATAGTCCTCACGTATCTAAAAATAAACAAAATACCAATGAATTAAACTGGAAATTTGGGAAAAATTTTAATAGCTAAAATAAATATTACCTTGGGGGAGCCTTAGGTTTCCGTGCAGATGGGCCGGACTGGCCAGGTCTGCTAACTGATGCCGAGTTGGCTCGACGGTGGGTACTTTTCTTGCCCACATCTGCCACTGGACTGTAAGGCAAACTGCTTGGCCTTGTAGCTGGGCTGCGATGCTCCATGGTGACCGCCTGGTCTACACGGCTTGTGCGAGTAACCACAGCTGAAGATCGTTTTCCCTATGAACATTGACAAAAAAGAGAAATGTTGAAAAATCATGCTTTAGATTTTTAGATAAAATGGTTTTGTTGGTTATAATGTGACACGTACCTGAGCAAGAGGTAAATTTGGTTTTCGAATGGGACCTTGGGCTTGAGTAGGGGAAGTTGCACAGCGAGGCAGAGGAATGCCTGTTGGTGGACGCACCGGAGATGTTACCGGTCGAGGAATGCGAGAGATGGAGCTTGTACTACTGGTTGTGCTGCCTGGACTATGGAGGGAAGACCTTGAGGAGGATTTGACAGGAGACATTGCCGGTGAAGTACGAGTGCTCCCACTGCAAAAGACAAAGGTGTGTTAAGATCAGACAAATCAAAATCAAAACAACATTATGAGCATGTTGAATGTAATTTTATTGACAGATCTACTCATATGTATATTTTAACTAACCTGAATGATGTCCTTGACCTCATTGTTTTCGTAGGAGAGGCTTCAGGAGATGCTCTTGTACTCTGGTCTCGGGATTCAGTTCCACTTCCACTCAATTTTTCCCATTTCATCTGCAAACGACGAAACTTTCCACCAACTCCCATTGCATTTGCTCGCCTTGCTTTGGCAACTGCGCCAGACCGGTCGGACATGTCCGTGTCTGTGTGGTCCATGTCACTATCATGACTTACAAGAGTTGCGTCTTCACTGGTTGACTGATCAGAGTGAGTGCGAAGCAGTGGTGTTGCAGGTGTTGCTGGAGTTGCATTAAGACTATCAGAGAAATCCTGTAGAAATGATAAATCACAGTGCTATTATGCTTATATGCAGTGAGGACAGAAAAAAGATAATTTATTTTGGTGGTAAATATACCTCCTCGGTATCTTCGGCCAAAAGCCTATCAAGGGCTTGGCTCAATTTGGAGCCAAGTTGCACTCCACTCCAACGTTTGCGCAGATTTGTAGAAGGATCTAAAAGGTCTCCAGAGGGATCAATGCATGATCGTGGCCTGCGAAGCTGCCTTGAACGACTATTGCGTTTTGTCGGCACAGAAAGAAGGGTTGAATTTGATGACAGCTCAAGAAGATCTGGCAATGGATTATCAGAATTGTCTCTGAAATCAAGAAATAAAGATTAGTATTAGTATTGTTAGATTCTAATTAGCCCAGTTTTGGATTAGGTACACAAAAATTATGATTTGCTCACCCCTTGTGAGTTGATGAGTATTCCTCAGCAATAGTCAGCTGGCCCACAGAATTTTGAATAGAACGCACAAGCCTTAAAAGAGAAGTTGGAGATGTAGCAGCAGCTGCTCCAAGTCTCTGCAAACTTTGATGCAGTTGGCGGCACTCAAAGAGAAGATCAAGGTGGAATGGCAACAAAGAAAGAGGCCGCAGAGCAGCAAGGAGGCTGTCTGTAAGTGCGTGAAACGAGGGACCACCGCGCAGTGATAGGACTAGAAGTGCTTCAGGTCCATAATGTTTCCGAAGAATACTTTCTCGGGTGCGCAAGTATCCCATCCATGCATCAACTGACCGTACGCTGGAACAGATTGCACACAAGGATTAGATAAGATCTGCTTACACCAGTAGTATACAGTACAAAAACAAGAAATTTAATTAAACTTACTTGAGGAGACCAAAGACAAAGGCATTGAATTTTAGCAAGCCTTCAGAAAAGACATCCTCACTGTTCAGCCTTAAAACTAATTCATTCAGAGAGCGAGTCATGTGGCCCTGCTGGGCTGAAGCCTCTACAACTTGCCACACGGAATTAGAAATGTCACCAAATGCTGTGGCGATATTGGTCAAAAGACCATCGCTGAGGACTGCATAGAGTGCAGGGCATAACGTTCCTATGACAGAGTTGGCAACGGCAGGGGTCACAGCAGAGTCTCCCAGACGAGCACATTCCCCTGGTGTTGATGCTCCAGAGAAGTGACATATGATTTCTTCTACGGCGTCTGAGACTGCTGTCACAAGAGCTGAAATAAACAGAAAAGAGAGAAATTAAGAAGAGCAGAGAACTAAAATCAGCATTGCGGCGCAACAGCAGGTGCACTGCCCCATACCTTTCTTGGATTCCAAATCTGGTTTGCTGGATGGTGTTGAGGGAGTGTAGTGTTCATCAGCACTTGACTCTCCGGGATCCTCCTCCCGGATAGGCAAGTCAGATAAGGGCTGCTTGCACTGGTATTGACGGTGATTTCCCAAAAGGGCTGATACATTAGGCGAGTTAGGTGGGGTTTTCATGTCACCTGCTGAAGAACTAGGACGAAGTTTCTCAGCTGTCCCAAAAGAGACTGCCTTTGAAGTCTGTTGGTTAGCATGCTCTGATCCTTCAGAGCTTGCTGTGCTTATAAACCTACTGACTTGTAGCCTCAGTCTTGCCATTTTTTCATCATCCCACTCAGATTCAATAGAAACATCTGAAAGTCCAGCTGTGCTCATGTGAATATAATCAGATAATCGTAAGACATCTTCAAATTCTGCATGGCTACAGAGGTGGTGGTGGTGTTCAGAACCCACACCTGCCAAACCTTCATCGTCATCCCCACATGCAGCATCTTCTCTAGTTTGGGCACGATTCTTCTTTTCACCATGCCCAGGAAGGTAGTATGGTTCCTGCAGAGAACAGCGTTTGTTTGCTGCGGCAGCATTAGGACCAGTTCCCATTTCAAACATGCTGAACCTCTTATTGGCAGCTTCCTTCCGCATCTTGCTATTGGAGACTACATCTCCATCAATTGCAGTGCGTAAAATACCCTTTGGAAGAGGAGGTCTTGGAGGTGCTGGTGCTTGAGGTGACAAATCAACATTTCCGGAATTTTTCTTGGCGTCCTTTGCACCCGGCAACGAAATTGACCTCTTCGGAAGGGGAGGAGCATTTGAAGAAAGAGTGGGTTTCTTCTTTTCTGTGCCAAGGAGGCTTGCTTCAGAGCTCACACTATCATAACGGTATACAAACAGGGGGTTGTAGTTAGGCGACTGAGAAGACGAATCAGTTAGAAGAGTAGAAGAGCCCCTGTATCCTGACGAGGGTTGAGTATTGGTGCTGGATGCTGAAGACAGATTCGTGCAATCACAGCCAGGGTGAGAATGCCTATTTTTTGAAGGAGGGGCCATACAAAACAGAGGATGAAGATCCTGCTCACACAAATTTTTAGCATCAACATGTTTCAGCACCTCTGGAACATCAGCAAGCAGCACACGATATTCTTTAGGAAGAAGGAATGTCAGAGAATTCCAATCCTGAACATGTTGAAATCCTTTCTTGCGTAGATTTTCAACATCACCACAGGAGAATGGCCGCTGTTGTTTCCAACCTCTTTTGGGTTGCCTCAGGCAAGCAGGTATTTTGGAAACCAAGTCAGCATTGCCGGCATTGGTAGTTGCTGAAAACTTTTGAGGTCTAAGGTACACCTTAGTGAGATCTACATTGGGTTTCTTCTCCTTCAAAAATCCCAGGTCAGGGAGAGCATAGTTGGGATAGTACACATATACTGGCTTTGTCCCTTTTTCTGTTTTTTCATCTTCCTTTTCTTTAGTCTCTACCAGTTTAGCATTTGGAGGCTTTACAGGAGCTTCTTTGTTGGGTGGTATCCTGACTTCTTGCAATGTAGCCTTTGACAGAACATCAAGCATGCAAGACGTTTGCATACTTCTGTTAATAAGAGGCAGCTGGCATTGTGTCCCTGAATTTCTCCTGCAATCCTTGTTTTCACAACCACAACAGCAACAATTGCCAAGACTACCCGTACGGGACTGCCTTCGACTGTCTGAAGAAATATCTTCCCTTTCCAGGCTGTTGTTATTGTTCACATTATATCGCCGGCAATGGAACAAATCGCCCTCAGTCTTATTCAAACCATGCACAAGTCCATGGTGACTAGAGTAATTGGAACTGTCATCACAACTGTGCACATTTTCCATTGTGGAGTCCCTCGCCATGCTGATTTTTGAAATGCTTTCTGAGACCTGCTCAACTGACTCAGAGTGTTCTGATGGGCCTTCAGCTTCCTCTTCAGTAATTTGTTCATGGGTCCTTTGAACACCATCCTCAAGGCGATAAAGACTATCCTCAAAGGTGCAAGTAGAACAATCAGTCATTTCCTCTCCACGAACCCAACTTCCATTGTTTTTCCGAGGGTGGCCACAATTTAGAGAGTCAATGCTTCGAAGACTAAGCTTATTGTTGACCTTTGTCATACTTTCTTCGGGCAGGCACTGACATTCATCTACACTATTGTCATTTCGAGAAGCATCTACCCCCTGGCATGACCGAAAGACTTGCTTTCCACGGCAAGACTGACTTCCTCCATTACTCTGCCACTCATTGTTGTTTCGCCTCATTGGTCCTGTTGCTGACCTGACACAAGAATCACTATCCCAACCATCACTTACAGAGGTTGAATGGTCAGTTCCTGAGCCGCTGCGTTGTTTCATGAAGAGCCTAACTAGATTGATGCCTCCCTGTGGCTTCCCACCACTGCAACTGCTTGCACCACTAGATGTGAGAGGGCTGCCATTGCAACGAACATCATACAACTTGACACATGAAGATTCAATGGAAGACGATGTGCTTAAAGCCAAACTTGTTCTGATTTGATGCTTTCGGCGCTGGTGGTGTTGCTGCCGCTGTTGTTGTTGCCTAGCCAAATTAGGTAAACTGCGGCTTTTGACAGCTGTTTGATCATCAGTATTATCGGCTTGTGTTTCTTCTTCCGTCCCTTGAGTGGTGTTATTGTTTCCAGAAGGATGACGGCTCAGTTGCTGCTGCTCCAGTGGATTTTCCCCCTCAGGTTTCTTCAACTTACTCCAGGTTGTAAAGGTGGAATCAGATCTGGCCATATTGTTGTGAGAGGAAGTTAGAATTTGCTTACAGTTAGGTCTGCCACAGCCAGCCCTCACACTTTTCCCTGAACAGGTAGATGTCAAGGAAGAATTTAGCATTCTCTGCTCAGCTCCAAGTACAGCAGCCAGAGCTGGGTTCAATAAGCGGCTGTTGCGAGACCAATTGTTGCTGTCCGTGCTTGTTGTCTCACTGTCACCTAAAGGAAGGAGAATAATGTACAAAATAAGATCTGCATTGTTGTCATCAACCATACCTGCATTTCCCAAAGGCTGTCTTTATCCTTACCATGATCATGAAACTCTTCAGAATCCTCAGAGCCCATTGTTGTAGAGCCCTCAAAGGCAATAGTGTAGTTATCCTTGTTGGCTTGACATGTTAGCATCATATCAGAATCTAGAGAGTCTACACTGAAGTTGATAGTTCCAGGAACTGCACTTTCTTTGACAGGTGAAAACAGCAATTCAGATTTGCAAAGTGACATAGTATCAATGGATCCAGCTGAATCTTCACCCTGCAAGATACATGTGAGATATTTGAGATAATTTTTGGAAGGATAAAAATATGATTTAATTTCATGGAAGAAACTATTTAAACACACCTGTGAGCTGCTGTGAGGGCTCATAGATGATTCAAAGTCAAACTTTCCCATCAGTGAAGTAGATAGAGCGGACATGCTTGCAAACATCTCTCCTTGATTATTGCTCTGAAAATTATTGTTTTTTATATTATTTCAGTGAGTGAACCAATTACTAACGAAAACATTTGCCCTGAGGCAATGACCAAAAAAGAGGTATTTTACAATCATGAACATTTAACATACCTTCTGCATGTCACACATGGTTGGGAGTGTGTTCAGCAAAGAATGGATGTCCTCAGCACAGAAGTTTTCCATGTCCACTTCTGCAAGGTTAGCATCCAAATTTCTAGCAAGATCATCATACAGCCCACACGATTTTCCATCCACTCCACTGGACAGCAAACCTCTTGCATATGATTCTGAGAGAGATGACAACACACTAACTTGGTGGTGCATGCCCTCTCGATAACTAGGAAAGAAAAAGAAAAGAAAAAATGTTTTATTTTTACATAATAAGGACCAAAGGAAAAGTCAGTATGCACAAAAGGATAAAGGTGCACTTCTGCCATAAAACAAGACAACATACCCATAATCCAAAAACCATTGGTACTCAGAATTGTCTTGTATGAAGTCTGCATCATTTTGAGATGATGTGTTGCTGACATAGCTAGCAGCATAGCTAGCTGTTGTCTCTCCGTTGTTATTGGAATTTAGGTCCCCAGGACTCAGCACCCCGGTGCCTTTCCCGATATCTTCCGTCATCCTGGTTCTGCCGCCTGGCGGCAAGCCTGTAATCAAACAAACAAGAAAACAATAAATTTTAAAACAAGTTTCATGGCAGCTGTGACATAGCACAGGGGCAGAACTGTCTCCTCTAAAATTCATAGAAACAAGAACATCAACGGTCATAAATTTGTTGGATCTCTAAATCATGTTTCAGTGCTGAAGACATCTAGTAAAATACTTTCTGGTCAGCAAAAATTGAAATATCATTTGGAGAGAAGACCACTTTCCTCGAGGAACATGCATGCATTTCATGCACCGCGAGGCCCATGCATTCAAAAGAGTACAACGGGCATCCAGTGAACCACTTGGATATAACCTCCAAACGAGGTGACATCTCGGTGTTTTGTGGCATGGGACCACACCATTCATCGCACGGTTGGTATTTCTGCCACAGACGCCCACTTCTAGTCCTAGGGGACTCGATCCGAGCCGAAAACCCACGAAAATTTGGCGCACTGAGCACTGACACATCCCTCTCTCCCTCTCTGACGTCACACACTGGGACACTCCCGTGAAATCGGCCTGTTTCTCGTCGCCCCTTCACTTACACGCGGTGTATTTCATCTCCAGTCGGTAGCATCACACTGGAAGCAAAAAGGCACGCCGCATGTCGGCCTGTGCGCACACCTCACACGCTTTTATCATCGTGTTTCGGGTGATGTTGTGTCCAGACGGCAGGCAGGCAGACGGCTAGCAGACGAGCCGAGCAGAAAGTCTGGGGCGAGAGGGGGAGGGGGTGGGGGTGGAGTGGGGACAGTGGGCGGCGGAGTGGAGGGGGAACGGCTGCAGGCTGTGGCTTCAAGGCGGGAGGGAAGTGAAGGAGAGGGCAGGGCAGGGCGGCAGGGCGGGCGCGTTGAGTTGAGTCGGTTGAGTCACTCCTGCTTGAGATGAGTGCGCCCGGGCCCCCGGGCAGGGCACAGCCCTGGCACAGCCGCGGGTACTGGGTGCTGGGCGCCAGTGGCACTTGTGGAAGTACTCTGGGTACGCCAGCAGGACTCGGCCGCCAAATGACTCACCCCGAAATAGCGCTCGCTTCTTGCCAAATCAGACTCTCCTCGCGATAGGGGGAAGACCAAAACAAAAGCAAAGCGGCACGCCCAGCGCCCAGGCCCAGCCGTCGCCGCGCCGCCTTCCCGGAGTGCCTCTGGGGCCTCTGGGCGAGGCGACGCTCTCGGCGACGTTCGGCGTGGGCGTGGCCGCCGTCATTGTTCGTCCCAGCTGGCAGCTGACTGATTCCGAGAGTCGTCTTCGTCGCCCTGTCTCTCTCGCGCACATACGGGAAGCCCCATGAGTGCGAGAGAGACAGCGACGAAATACTCTCGGAATCACTGGGTTGACGACGCGGCCGCCGCTGCGCGCTTCGCACGCGCCAGGCGCCGGGCCCGACGGACGACGACGTCGCTGAAGGCGAAGGCGAGGGCGAAGGCGGCCCGGTGCCGATTGCGTCGCGAGCTCATTGTCACACGCCGCATGCTAAGCAATGCTAAATTATTGAGCCACGGCGGTGAGCCAAAGTCCTCGGCCAGGTCGGGGCTGCAGACTGATTCTGAGCACTGATTGTCCCTCTCTGTCCCTCAGCTCGCACCCTTACGCGACAACCCATGCGTGCGAGAGAGACAGAGTGACAAAGGCAGTGCTCGGAATCAGTTTGCTGGAGCTCCTCAGCACGCTGAGCACCCGCGAGCCCGCCGTCCAGGCGCACTCGCGGCGGCAGAGCGCCGCAGAGCGCCGCAGAGCGCCGCAGAGCGCAGGGATACCTACTCGAGCATTTTGATGCTTCCGGCGAGCGGCGGCGTCTCCAGAACCGAGCCTGCACCATGACGGCGCGCTGGAGAAGCTATAGAGTCTGGAGCGATGGGGCCGTCCGGGACCGTCCGGGCCGAGGTGCGGCTGCAGGCAGGCTGCAAGCTGCAAGCAGCAGCACTGAGACTGATAAGTGCCAGCGCTGCGCCGACACGACACGGCGACCTCGGCGACACCGAGGCCGTCCCGTTGCGTTCCGCGGCGAGGGCAGGGGGCAGGGCAGGGGCAGGGCAGGGGGCAGCCCGACTTTGGACGCCGGGCGCACTTTTGGTTCCAACACGAAAATATTGGTTCACGCGGCGGTGCGGCGGTGGGGCGGTTCACGGGGCCTGAGAGAACGCGGTGCACAACAGGCAGTGCCGGGCCAGCGAAGGTAGATAAGGGACTAAGGGGAGACGAGACGCGTTCTGTTGCCGGGCAGACTGGACCAGACTGCGGGGTGGCGCTATGTAGTTGTGCTCGGGAGTGCTTGAAGAGCGGGGCCGAAGGGTTGACGGCAAAAGCGCCGCCGCGTTTCTCGCTTCCCACAGTACACTGCAATACTGAGTGCACTCGGCTAGCCGGCAACGCCAAACGGCCTCTAAAGGCAGCGCTGTGGCCCTGGCTTGGCTCCATCATGCACCCCGTCGAGCAGAAGGCGGCAGCGGCAGATTGGCCCTGCCGGTCCTCCCGGTTCGCGGCGGCGGAATCGACGCCCAGCTCGACAATGCGATTCCAGGTCGACTAGAACGCGTCGCGCGGCGCCGCGCGGTCGCTCGCACTGCCGCCGTTTCTGACTGAGTGGCCACGGCGCGGCGGGCTGGACTTCCTCGTCGCCGCCCTCGCCTCCGGTTTGGCCTCCGGCATGCTGCAGGAGGCAATGAAGCGGGCCCAAGGGCTGGCCGACGTGAGCCCTGCAATCCAAACAGGACGGCGAGGCGAGCGACCCTTAGGGCGGCGAGGACGAGGAGGACGGCGTCGACGAGGCGAGGGGATTGATGCCGGGTGTGATTAGAGGTGCAGCGGGGAGGGGCGGGGTGGACAGGGTGGAGCAAGGCGAGGGTGAGTCACCACGCCACCCCTCCGCGACCACCTCAACGACATAAACGCATTTTCTGGTAAAGTGGGAGTCCCTCCCTCCACGCCGCTCCACGCCGCCCCACGCCCCATCAGACGCCCCCGCCCCACACAAGCGGCAGCCCGGCAGCGCGGCGCACGTCGCGAGGAGCGCATAATCGCATTACACTGTAACAGCTCATCATTTTCAAATCGTGGACAAAACGCCACCACGCCGCGCCTCTACACGACGGGGGCGAGGGCCGGTGGCCGCGCTGGGTATGCGCAGGGTGGCGTTCACCTTCCATCACTGCGTCGCGGCGACAATGTGCCGGCAGTGCCGTCTCTCTCGCTCCCTTCGGCACGACCCATGAGTGCGAGAGAGACAGAGCCACCTCGAGACAGCCGCCATTACCGCCCTGTGCATAATTGGGATGCTGGGGGCGGTGCAGGCTGTTCAGGCGAGCGGCGCGGCCCGGCCGCCCGTGACGGGGAAGGGGATGGGGGAGGGGAGGGGTGAAAGCCGACGGGCGGCTCGCTGGCGCCTGGCGCCAGGGCAAAGGCAGAGCCAGGCAAGCCAGGCAAGCCAGGGGGAGCGGCTCAATTTCACTGGCAATTGAAAGCGATTTGGATCGGCAGCCAGTCGGGGGCGCACGCCGCACGCCGGGCTAGCCAGGCTGCCCCACGCTCGGCCGAGCAGGACGCCGAGCAGGCCAAGCGCGGACGGCGGGCCGCACGGCCGCACCGCGCAGAGGGGTCGCTAGCGCCGGGGGTGGCCGACACAACTCGAGTAGAGGTGCGCGACGCGACGCACACCACCAGGCCGACCGCACCTCGTCCGCGCCTTCCACCGCCCCGGCCTGGCCAAGGGCATTATGCAGGCGGGGCGGGGCGGGGCGGGGCGGGGCGGGGCGGAGAGGGGCGCCGTCCGCAGCGGCATCCATTTCCAATCGGGGGCAGTCATGACTTATGCCATACCGGCCTGCGGCACCACTTTCATCCGAGACAAAGCAGCAGCAGGGAAGCCCCAGGGCCCCCAGCCCCTTGCGACCACCTGGGCACAGTGTCCCACTCAGGCCCAGTGGCGCGCGCGCGCTCCGGTTGGCTAGGCCCTAAACTTTGGCAATTAGGGTCGGACCCCAAGGGGGTCGCGAATTTTTTAAGGAGTCGCGGCGAGCTGGGGTCGTTTTAGGCCGATTTTAGCGCCCTGCTTGATCCGAGGCGGCATTTTGCCTCCCAACGGGCAATCGGTTTTGACCTTCCCTTTTGCAGCTTTTCGAGTGCATTATCAGTCTTAGTTTGGAGCAGATGTCTCAAAGTTGGCCGAACGGTCAGCAGTGTCTTGAAAATCGTGTTTGGCCGATTTTAAGCAGCCACTGCGTCTGATCCGAGGCGGGCATTTTGCTCCCTCAACGGCAATCGGTCTTGGACTTCCTTAGCATGCCTTTGTTACGGAGTGCAATATCAGTCTTAGTTTGGGGCAGTATTGTCTCAAGTTGGCCGAAACGCTCAGAAATGTCTATGAAAAATCGTGTTTTGGGCCCATTTTAAGCAGCCACTGCGTTATCCGAGGCGGGCATTTTGCTCCCCCAACGGGCAATGGTCTTTGGACCTTCCTTTAGCATGCCTTTTTTCGGGTGCGATTGTCAGTCTTAGTTTGGGAGCAGTATTGTCTCAAAGTCGATCAAAAAGGTCCAAGTGCTTTTAAAAATCGTTGTGATATTTTGGTCAAATTTAGACAATACTGCTCCCAAAATAAAACGATAATCGCACTCCGTAACAAAGGCATGCTAAAGGAAAGGGCCAAAAACCCAAAGCCCTTTAGGGAGCAAAATGCCCGCCCCGGATCAGACGCAGTGGCTGCTAAAAACGGCCCAAAACACGATTTTTCAAAGACATTTTTGGCGTTTCGGCAACTTGAGCAATAGCTCTCAAACTAAGACTGATAATTGCACTCCGTAACAAAGGGAGCTAAAAGGGAAAGGGCCAAAAACCGATTGCCCGTTGAGGGAGCAAAATGCCCGCCTCGGGTCAGACGCAGTGGCTTTAAAATCGGCCAAAAAAACACGATTTTCAAGACATTTTGAGCGTTTTGGGCCCAAATTTGAGACAATACTGCTCCCAACCCAAGACTGAAATTGCCCCGTAACAAAGGCTGCTAAAA